TTAAAACCCATATATTGATAAATCTTAGGTTCTAACCAGTAAATCTTAGAATTTACTTACATGAGATGATAAATCTAAGGATTTTGTTAAAAAAATATAATTTTTCAAGTTTTCACTAAATCAAACCTAACCTACATTTTTAGACTCTAATACGAGCACCACGCACTTAACAGGTTTAAATATATCCGAAATGTCAAGTGATTGTATTTATTTAACTCTAGACATATTTTGTACATATTATATTAATTGATCAAGACGTCAGAGAACTTAGGATTAGTGTAGTGAAAACTCGAAAAATTATCATTAAAAAAATATTTACCATTTCATGTTGGTAATTCCTAAGATTCACTAGTTAAACCTAAGATTTACCAATGTGCTGGCCTTTACAGTAACATACGTACTTATCAAAATTCCAACAATAAACCATAATTATACATTAAGTGTAAAGAAAGTTGCAAAAATATAAAACGTTTTAGCATCAAAGCTATATTTACATAAATGTATTACCAGATCCATCGGTGTGTAAATGAATTGAACCATATAAATGAGCAGTGTCAAAATCATAACATGTTCGCTGTGCCAATTGATCGCGCGAAACACGCGTTTTCGTTTTAACTCTTTTCTCGAACCATTCCTCGAATGAATGATTTTACTCTTTGATGGTTACAAAGAAAAAAGACCAATTTGTTCCATACGATTGATTTATCTACAAGTGAACTCATTTGTATTTGCTTGTATTGAGTGTTTTCTATGCCTGATTATAGATTATTTTTATTACTCTACATTTTATTATTTAATCCATAATTATAATAATTATTTAGTTCATAATTAATTTTTTTTTTAATAAATATTACGAATAAATCATTAATGACCATCCTTCCAACGATTGATTTTACTCCTTGAGGTTTCAAAGAATAAAAGACCAATTTATTTCACACGATCAATATATCTACGTGATCTCATCTGTATTTGATTGTGTTATCGTGTTTTATACGCCTAATTATAGTTTTTTTTATATAAAAGAATTTTTATGACTTCGTATTTTCTTGTTTAGTTCATAATTATAAAATTAATATTTTGTAAACTATTCATTCAAAGGTATGAACGCAAAATAGAAGGATTGAGTTTTTGTATTAATTGTTTAAAATAAATAAAAGTTACATCAAGTAATTAACGAATATAATTTTGAATACAAACTGTTTATTTAACGGCTAATTACTTGGAATTATCCATAAGAGATGGCTGTTTTCTGCATAACTAGCTTTAGTTTAATACCCTAAACAACAACATGTTTAGATATAAAATAATTAAGCATAAATTTAGTGACAATTTTCTAGCTGATATTGGGAGCGATTCTGAAATTTTTTAAATTTTATTTCATAGCGATATCTTTCATTTAAAAACACATGTTACTGTTATTGTACATTTTATTTATTATAGTATTTATTTAATTTACAAATTGATTTTGTTAGACAAATGCAAAATAATGATTTCGCAAAACTATCAAATCAAAATACAAGGTTATAGAGGTTTTTTTTTTTTATACAACTTAAAATGGTAAACAAGCTGACGGCCCACCATGCTTTGCCATTCCTGAGGACTCAGGTATTATTCCTCTGTACCCAGTAAATTCACGCCATATCCCACCCTTCAAACCGAAACACAGCCTTGCAAGCACAACTGTTTCACGGTTGAAACACGAATGGGACAGAGGTACCCAAGCAATCGACTTTTGTACAAAGTCTCCGGCGCCTCCGAATTTGTCCCATTGTCTTACAGATAGGTATTTAGATTACTAAAGAAACAATATCCGTATACTTCAAAATCCTGTCAGAAGAGTGATAAACAAATGTCTGACAATGAAAGCCAAAATAATGTTTGATGTTTGATGGTAGCTGTCAAAATGAAGATGTTTCCGTGTCACTGGCGTTTGAAATTTTAGCTCTTCGATCGCTTTCGATGATATTTTAAAGGTAGAACAAATTTCGAAATTCAACAAAGACAACAAAGATATTCAATATACTAAATATTAATTGAAATTATATTTGTAATAAGTAAGTTTTTGCTTAGCTAAAAACAAAATAGTAACTATCTGTTCTTATTTTTAATTATATTATTAAAGATTTTTCAGAACACGTTATATTTTAGCTGTAAAAATAATATGGTCTTAAAATTAATCGAGCATTCAAATCAATATATAAAAATTAAATGAATTTATTTATATTTATACGAGTATTTAAAATAAAATTATTTATAATTAATTATCTCACTGCTAAAATATTTCGAAACAAATGAAAGGCATCATGATCGCGCCATTGAACTACAAGCAATTCAAAGACACAATTGAATTTACAAGTAAAATCTCAACTCGAACTTACATTCAACTATTACTATTACTATGTGCGGGTATCAACTCCTAGTGTCTAAAATTTTTAAGCCCCCTTTGTCATACACGAAAGCCTGATGTAAAATGTGGATAGCATTATATAGTCTCTAAAGTATGAAGCAAGCGGCAAAAAAAAAAAAAAATAATAACCCAAACGTGTATTTGAAAAATTCAAAGATCTAGATTGAGATTCGATTTTCGCGTCTCCGGTGCGTTTAAAGTTGTTTGACTGTGTCACCACTCATATATAAATAATCTAAAAACGCTAAATAATAATATATAATACTGAAAATTAACTACGGGTTAACTGTCAATATGGAACGCTATTTCCTGAAGGAAATTGACGCCGCCTTCAATCGGGAAAGTTCCGAGAAATATTATTCAAGTGCGAATTCTTAGCGATCTAAGAGTATGTTCTATCACGCACGTGCTCTCTCACCTTAGTTAATATTCTTTTTTCTTAGACTATAATAGAATTGTTTTCTTTGTATTATACCTTTAAAAAGAATTTATATTTATCTTTAAAATTTATAAAACACACCAACTAAGAATGAAATCTTTCATAGATACTTAGATTCGAAAATATTTGAATTTAGAATACGGAGCTGTATATAGTTGGCAATTTACGTAACATTTTGCTTCATGACAAGCAGTTTTTGCATTTAAAATAAAAACGGAACCTTTGAACGCGCCGAAATTAATATCGGATCAACACAGGAATAAACCTTATTGATAGCAAAGAGAATAATCTATCCAGAATTTGGTACTGTAATTACATACCATAGCCACAAAAAATATAGGCTAATTTCGAATCTCCTGTTTTTGAAGTTGAGATGTTTATACCTTATTTCTTGGAAAACGGCACGAAATTGTATTTTTAATGTGCCGTAAAAATCTAATTTCGTGGCTTCAGCATTTGCCCAGCTGTTTTCCATGTAGTCTATGATTAGCATAATTTAAAATTAATCATGTTTAATATTAAATATGTCTGTTATTGATATTTTTTGCAATCTATAAATTATTAAATAACATTAGAGAAGATGAAAAAAATTAAGCTTTAGTTCCCAAATTGTCTTTATAATTTAAGTAATATTTTAGACTCTTGGGTTACAGGTTTATTTACTTAGTTAATTCAGATAAATAAGTTGAAAAAACTAATAGTTAAATTAATTATATAAATAGATAAAAACAGTATTTAAAATTAGTTTTTGACTATGTAACTTTAACATGTATTTGTATTATGTTAATAAAAATATTATAATTACTTTCAGTGAGTATATTGGGAAATTGTAATATTCACACTAAGAGTACGTTACTGTGAGAAATAGATAAATTAGTAATATTGTTTATTTTAAATGTTGTAATGTTAATAAATTTACTTGGAAATGTCGTAAATGTAATTATCAAGTTGAATTAATATCAACAAAAATACTGTTTATTTGTAATCACTCTAATAATAAATTAATTCTGATAATAATAATTCTTAGTCATTTTAAAGTTTTTGTATATGTTTGCAACGTAGTTTCTAAAATCTATTAGATTAATATTATTAAAAAAATTAAAGTAACTTACTGAAGTACTAACAATACTCCACTTTTATTTTTTTAATAATATTTTTTGTAAAAATATTAAGCAACTACGACAGTGTCATTTATCAAGTTAATCTCAGCAGCGAAGGAAGTGAAATTGATTCAGTATCCACGACTCAAGATCATTTCCGGTTTTCCCCTACTTTTTCCCCCAATCGTAACTAAAATATTTTATGTCCACTTCAATTATATTTCTCTGTATGTACAGTGCTAGTACCAGCAAAAAAGTAAAGATAAAATACTACCGAATTACAAGCTTAAACTATTTCACTTTAATGTAATAACTAACGATTTAACTTACGCGTACTTAGATCGAGAAATCCCGACTACTTTCGGAATCAATTCGTTATCCTTAGTACTGAGTCAGTCTTTACACCGGCGATTATTACATTAAAATATAATGTGTGCTAATGAAACTTTTAACAACAAAATAGTAAGTTTCGTTCTAAGAGTTTGCGAATCGTTATAAATTAACTACATATAAATTGTATCTAACTAGGTGGACGTAAAATTCCGTATAATATAAAAAAAATCTATATAAACATTATTTAATTATATATATTATATAAAACTAGTAGTTGACTTGCAAAGTGCTTTTTTGCTCTCTGCCGGCATTCACTGGATATACTTTTCTTTATTATCTGTATTAATTCTAACCTGCCTCTTAAATTTTAGCGCATAATACACGTTAACAAAATTTTATTGACTCAATACGTTGATCGATCTTTAATATTAACGTGAACGAATATCGATACATATCGATACTTAAATTTTAAAATTATTTTAATAAAGTATAAGTTATGATTCAATTACACGTACCTAACTTAGATCAAAGGGACAAACCCTACCTACTAACTAAGTTGCCAATATTTGATATAACGATTACTAAAAGGAAGACGAGACACTTCGTCCCATTTTATCAATTAGAAAGTGGAAATTAATTTAATTACGTTTCCTGCAGGAAAGTCCATTAAAATTATAGGTATTCATATTTCACATTTTTAATACGACTTTATTTGTTCCAGGTAAATTATGAAGACGAGCATTCAAAAAAATAATTTTCTATCAATGCAAATTACACTTCAAGCAAGAAAATAATTTTCAAATACGTACAAGTGAAAACAAAATGCATTTCTTCAGTTGACGAATTTATATTAATTAATCGAAGTAACAAAAATAAGAAAAAGGCTAGAAGAAATAAAAGCTGTTACAAAATTTATGATCTAAATGCCTGATTCAAGAAAAGATTGCGCTGCTATTCGCAGGCGCCGACTATGTTCGACTCGACTAAAGGCGCATTGCTCATAGCGCCATCTCTTTTTAACAGTTCTTGCTGGCAACACGGTAAAGGCTGGCCTTCTACCTTTCCAGCGCCAGCGGATATTTTGAAAGCATTCTTCATATTTGCGCTCTCAATGGCAATAGTATTCGGCAATTTGGTACTGATCTGTGTATTGAATAATCGGCGATATATTAAATATATTGATAATCAGGTAAATTTTCTTTAGATATTTACTCATATTCTAGATGCTAAATAAAATGTTTATAAAATGTATTATTTATAAATTTTAGCTACAAAATAAAATTATGATAGTGAAGGATAAGAAAATGTATTTAAAAAATACCTCACCCTTTAGATATCATATCTATACAGCTTTTAGACTACGCTATATGTATTTTCTGAATAGATAACATATTCAATTTGCAACTTTATTTTCTCGCAGCCACGGTATCTTCTGACTTCACTCGCTCTCAACGATTTATTCACGGGTATCTTGATAGCTCCGGTGGCTCTTCTGCCAGCCCTTTACAAGTGTTGGCCCTACGGAGAAATATTCTGTCAGATACAGGTATTGTAATATAATAACAATAATATTCCTACAGACACGACGTAGATGCTCATAACGTTTACGGCCATAAATTATTAATCACATCGCTTTGACATAATAATATATTATGTCCAGATCTATTATAACAATAATATCAGTATTTTTAATATCAAATTTTCCCAAAACAGAGAATAATATAACAACAGATTAAAACAAAATAAAAATTGAATATTAATTTTCCATCAAAATCTCGAGGGAGTTATTTAATCTAGTTAGAACTAGGCAGGCGAAGCTACGAAGTCCGTGCTAAACTTTATTTAAACAAGAGACGAAGAGAAAATGAGTAAAGTTGTTTCACGGGAAAAAAGTTCTCAATTGGAGAGGCAAAGTTAAAGGTAATCGGATATTACGGATAAGTACTCGAGGGTGCTACTCGTTTCTATCACATTTGGACCTTACAAATTTGACCTTGCAAAAAAAAACTTAAATTTCTCAACGTAATTTTATGATACTCCTATTCGATTGCGTGTAAAGCAAAATAAATTATACGTAATGGCTATAGAAATATCTCTGATGACAGCGTCTGAGGAAATTTCAAACGACGAAAATGATCCACATTGTGGGGAATCTTTTGAAGCGGGAACAATTTGCGTTTTAAAAGAGTAATTGTTGGCGATCCGCTGACGCGGCGGTCTGCAAACAATAAAATTGCTAAAAACTTCCATGGCAGCGTATAATGCGCGACTGCTAATGGTGTATAGTGACCGGGCACAAAGTCCTCGATTATGGAAGTTCAGCTTTGTAACTTGGGCCATCTGCCTGCCGCTTAGCTCGCTGAATCGTAATTCCACCGCTTTCAGGAAATCCCCTTTTGTTCTATTTTGTGAACCAAGGTCACTCGAATACTTTGGATTATTCACGGAACCTTTATTATAAATTATTAACATTTACTAAATATACTTATCATTTCTTTTATCATTATTGCATGAAAAAAAAAGTATATATATATATATATATATATATATATTGCTAAATACGCTATCGAATGTAGTAGATGTAGAAAAATAAAATTTCGTTCAGGCTTTCTTTAAATAACACTTATACGAACACCAGTAGTAATTTTTCGAAAACGGAAAGGCGAGATTCTGAATTCAACGTGAGAAGTGCCTTGGGAATAACTAGTTTAATTTGTTACGTGCGGGAGTAATAAAATGTCAATGTGTAAATGTCTTTTGCCCTCAAAACTTGACTTGTAAGTAATAGTACCCACGTTAACAACCCCGAAACCCCTAGAGAAATCATAGTCTGTAGTAGTTCTAAATACTCGTAGTAATGTTATGTAAACATTTCAAAAATGCTTCGATGTTCTTCACTTACAAAATTAAATTATAATAATATTAACCATTACATTTCAGAATGCATCCAACTAACAGTTCAATGTGAAAGCCACAAAAACAGGAAATTGCGAAGTTATGATTCTTAGTAAGCGACCTCTTAATACTTGAATAACTATTTATGTTTTTTCAGGCCCTCTTACGCGGAGCAGTGAGCCAACAAAGTGCTGTTATTTTAGTGTGCATGGCAATCGACAGATATTTATATTTATTACACCCTAACACTTACCACAAACATTCCAGTAAAAAGGTGAGAAAATTTTTTTTTATTTCGTTTTATTTATTTATTAATTACAAAGTTAGCTTATATATAACACGAATCTTGAAAACTACTAATCTAATTTAAAAACGCTTTTTGCATTTAAAAAATAATTTTTGAGGGAAATTATTAACGAAGCGCGGGATATAGCTAGTATATATATTATAATATCAATAATCAAGTTACTTAACAATTAAATCTATGATCTGTAATCTTAAAATATTGCCAAAGTTACGAAAATATGTTTATTATAAAAACATCATTGTTTGAATAATGAAAAAAAAAATTATTGAAAATTAATTATAAATAATATGCCTTATACAAAACTTTAATTAACGCCTAAGGTCTTTTGACAGGATTACAACAAAACAAAAGGTTCATAAAGTTAATTAAATATTGAAGTTGTATTCACACGTTTAAGAGTTAGGATTCTGTAAATCCGAGGTTGCGTTCAAAGAAGGCTTTCCGTACTTGATAACACCTTTCTCTTCGAAAATCTCTTTGAGCTACTTATAAACTTTTGGTATTCAAATCTGACTTACATGTCTAAGCTTTGTCATTTATAACTCTGTTTATCACTTTGATTATTATTTATAAGTACTTCTGAAAGATCACGTGGATAAAACGGGTAAAAGCTAGTATTTTTAAATTTACTACATTGTTCATTTTTTTTTATATCATATACAGTTGGCATATTTTTGTTTCAGGGTTGTGTACTGGTTATAAGTATAACGTGGATTTTGTCTGTTTCATTATTTGCAATAATGGTTCTTCCACGGTCTGGGTATTACTTCAATTCTACAGGATTGATGGCTTGTGACGTATTTCATAGTAGGGTTGCATTCAGGTACGATTTACTATTAATATAGTTTTTGTAGTTCAATTATATTTATATAAATATAATTAGTCCCACTTAGTCTAACTTAGGGTTGAAATTATCCAAAAGAAAACAACTTAAAGAAACCAAATATTTTAGAGAAAAAAAGATCTCTCCCGGAAATCCTTGAGAAAGCACTGTATAATATAAACTTTAATCTATCTAAATCTACTAATAAATTTTTATGTCCCTAACGAATAATACTCAATTTTTTTTTAAATATTTTACTTATACATCTATGAATTAGATATAGATTAATTGCATTATTATTATTAGCATCATTAGCTTTAATTTATTTGTCGATTTTACTTACTGTGCTGTACTATTCATTCATTGCTTATTGTTTTTATTAATTATTGTTTACTAGTTATTTTTATATAACCTTTATAATTACAAATAAAGTATATATATGTATATATATATTCATATATATTTATTTATATAATAATACCCCTTACTCTTAAGAACAATGGATTAATAAAACACTTGTATGAGGAACTTTATTTTGTAAATTCATAAATTTAATTAATACGAAGCTAATTAATTGTAAGACAATTATGCAAACACTAACCGCGAACAAATCAATTAGTCAGCGCTCATATTGGCGTTGGTTCAAACCATAATTTTATGAGTTCATTAAAACTTTTATCATTACCCTCGACGGAAGAGAGCGGATTCATTATCATTAACTGGATTAGTGTATTATTTGTTATTATATTGAGAAGAGGTTTAACCCTGTAAAAAAATATTTAACAAAATAAATTATAATTTTTCTACTATCTTAGTAGACAGGTAGCTATTTATAAGGTTTTAATATTTTTTTTTCCATAAACTAGTATGTTATTCTATTTGGTTTCCATATTCATTTCTGATGACATTTTGAAAATGAAACAAATCTATGCTACTAATAACCTAATAAAGCTCCTCTTGTAATATTAATTATTATTTAAAATGGTGTCACACAATGAAAAACTTACTTCAATTGTGGCAAAACCAGTAATTTTGATTTCAAAACTAAATTATTGAACCAATTTTAATAAAATTTGTAATGGGACCAATCGATAAGTATATCGTTTTAGATTAATAAAAGAATTTTCCAAATTACTGACGGAGTTATGAGGTGACTAACCTAATTTGACGTTGGTTGAAAATAATAATACTTTTTATCCAAGTAAATTTAACTATAAATATTTTTGAATTGTCATTTATTATGAATCTAGCGCCTAGGTCGAATTATATATTATATTTATAATGAATTTTAAAATTTGAGTTATTTCAAAACTCAATTTTGTACCTAATTTTAAGTGAATTTATGGGCCAACACAATGGGCCATCTGATCTAACTTTATCAATCTATTCATCACACTATTACTTTGCTAGCGTAAAGGTAATATACGATTATGTAGGCGAGTTTATCATTCCATTTACATCCATTAAATGAAATGGAATATTAAGGAAAGTATCTCTCCTTCTTTTAATCGTTTCCTCGTTAATGAGAATCGTGAGTTCAAATTAGGTCGCCAATGATTTTTCTCCAGTATTACGTGTGTGTTAGTTAGTCAGTTACCTGGTGGTATTTACACGTATCTTGATTCAATCACTGTATTGATATTCAGCCTCTGGTTTTATTTCTTAACGAAATTGTAATTAATGTAAAATATAAATTGAGATGAAGTTACATAGTAAAACTTCTTTCAGAATACTCTCGTGTTGTGCTTACTATTTTCCAACTACAATGGCACTCATGTATTGCTATGGATCGGGCTTCCATGTAAGCAAGAACAGAAGCAAATGCGACCAGGACTCGACGAGATCCAATGGTGTACCAGTGCCTTGTAATAAGAACTCTCGTGGCGAACACGACATCATGGTAAGTGTACATCATTGTTTCTAATATTAAAAAAGTGAATGTTAATTTGTTTGTTTGTTCTTGGTACCTTAACGACTTAAACAATCGTTATGAAGTTTGGTATACATGTACCATTTGAGATGGAAAAGGGGATTATAAGTTTTATCCCAGTCATGCACACGAATTCGCGGGTAAAACTAATTAAGAATTCAATGAAAATTCTTTCATCCTGAATATTATTGTAAGAAATAAATAATAGCTCAAAAAAATAATAATAAAAAAATAGGGTTCGAGATTTTTTTTGTGTAAACCAGCTAGTCCTACAACTCTGTTCGCGTTTATCGTCCATTCGTATTTATTCCTTATTCATTCATATTTATAATTTTGCTTAGATATTTATTTTATTTTTTTAAGTAGTTATATATAATAAATTCAGTCAAATCTAACGTAACAATTAGTTATATAATAAATAATGAAGTCATTATAAAGTCATTCATTAATGACATTGCACAAATATAATTAATCACTTTTGACTTGGAGAGTAAATGAGTTAATAGGGGTAATTAAAATTAATTACTTAGATGGGAGTGAATAATATTGTGGTATTACAGGGTTCTTATCGGAGAAGAATATCTTGTGTAAGAAATATTACAATTTATTTAATGTCACTTTGACGGTGATACATACTCGTATAACAACTTAATAAATTGTTATCTAAGGGTTACGCAGTCTCGCCACATACAATGAAAATATTAGCCTACTAGCTTTTACATAAATAAATAATATAAACAGAGGTCTATGCCCTTCTCAGTCCCAAATAGTATGTATATACATATTTACGATAGTTGAGCCGTTAAGATCATAAATAAATAAACAAGCTTAATATCATATTTATAATATCAGCAAAGATAATTATCATACGGTACGTACGTGCTACGTACATTATCAGGGCGAATTGTCTGTCAATTTTCAAAACCATTTGAACAAACTTTTATATATAGATTATTTAAAAAAATACTTTGAAAACGCACCACGCGCCTTTAAAAATTTAGCAGTCGTTGCCACGCTAGACAGGCGTATTGGCAACCACAGTTAGGTTTTAATTATATTTAAAGAGAGATACTGCTGCCCATCCTATGAACATTAAATTCACTTAGCCACATATTGCGATTACCACAAGAAAGAAAAAGGATGGCCCATTCAATTCTGGGACCACACATAATTAATCATATGTATTTTCTATTTTTAAAAAGCAAATACCAGTACCAGTGCGACCACACAGCGTCAGCACATCGCGTACTATGGCGGCTATGTCCCTGGGATTCATTGTTATGGTCACTCCGGCTACTATCCAGGAAGTCGTCGCAGCATGTACCGGCTGTAAGGTATAAACATGATATTTTATGGTTTATATTTTTGTTGTACGGTTATCTGCGAACGAAATGCCCCTTTATGTTTATCCAAACTTTAGATTCAGACAGCAAATCCTGAACGTACGTTTTGGTCGAGTTGTAATAAAACAAGTGTTATATAAGTATACAGTATATACGAAGGGATATTTTGACTGCAGGCAGAATGTCATTATCTTTTAAATCATCTGCAAAGATGTTGTGTAATTGTTTAGCAAGAAAAGGCTATATTACCAGAGGGAGACTTTGTACAAAAGTCGATTGCTTGGGTACCTCTGTCCCATTCGTATTTCAACTGTGAAGCAGTTGTGTTTGCATGGCTGTGTTTCGATTTGAAGGGTGGGATATGGCGTGAATTTACTGGGTACAGAGGAAAAACACCTGAGTCCTCAGGAATGGCAACGCATGGGGGGTATCATGGGCGAAACTGTCATGTCCATTGTACTACTTATGTCTATAGGCGACGGTTACCACTTTCCATCAGGTGGGCCGTCAGCTTGTTTGCCATTCTAAGTTATTTAAAAAAAAATAAAAAATCTAAAAAAAATACAATTGAATTAGTTATCTGATAGTTGTCTCAAATAAATAAAATTATAAGAGATCTTTGTTCCAAAAATAAAACTCAATAAACTTTTATTGTTATACTAAAGGGGTATTTACAAATCAATTTGGTCAAATATAATATAGGTACATTACTGCAGTTGAGTATTGTAATTTTTTTTTTTATATTATGTTGCTGAATATGGGACTGAATCTACACATTGCTATAATAAATAATAAAGCGTAGTAGAGTCTATGTACTCGTATACCGAATATAATTCTAAAGAATAAATTATGTGTGTATGATATAAAGGCATAAAAAATATATAATTAGTCTTATATTAAAACGTATGACTGAACAAGACATTATGTATTAACATTGCATGTATGAAAAGATTATATTCTAATTTTTTATCTCCAACCTTCACGTGAATATTTTATGAAAGGAATTATATATTATTTTTTGTATATGAGACGACTTTGATGTAATTTTTACAATAAACAGTTTTATTAAAATAGAAAATTGTGAAAGTCAGTTCTCAAAGAATTAAATTGAATGTATAAAATTTTATATGATTTTGATGATTTAGTAATTATATCCTCCGTAACTATAACTTTATCTTTCTATAAAGGTACCACCATCTCTGGATTTCATCGTTACATGGCTGGCATTGAGCAACAGTTTTTGGAATCCTTTTCTTTATTGGCTTCTCAATAGTCATTTTAGAAGAATCAGCAACGATCTCCTTCAATACTATGTAAGTACACTTTTGAATTCTAAACAAGGAATAAAAGAGATTAATATTCAATTATCCTAGGCGGAGCAACTACTACTTTAAAACTTATCCACGATTAACCTCTTCCCCTATAAATAATAATAAACATTATTAGTTTCAGTAACTTTTAGAAAATTATTTTAACTAATAATTCTTTCTTATAGGTTTGTTGCAGAAGAACTAAATCATTTCCAAGCTATGAAAAGCCAACAGGTTGCTGTGGGTCACCCGTCACATCCGATGGCCTTCATTCGAAGGGAGAATTTGAAGGTCTTGGAGAGAAATATTGGGGAGAAATATTAGAACGTACTGTTTCTTCAACTTCCTTACACGCTATTCAAAAAGCCTGTCAAAGGGATCCGCTTCGGTGCACCGGATCATTTAAAGGTTGTCCAAGTGGAACATGTAAACAAGATCCAAGATATTTCGATGGTTATGGGCCAACAGATTACAGGCAGCTGGATAGATCTGCATTTCAAATTGAATCATGTTCACGACAGTGTAGAATGAAGAACTCAGATTTCTGTTTGTTTAGACCCAGCCCAGGTTTTGAATGTGGCCGTTCGCGATCTAATTTAAGTTTAGACGAAGGAAACTTCAACAAAACTTGTAATAATCGACATCCAGAGTTGTGAGAATTTCGAAACTGTCCGGTCTTCGGGCACAGAAGTAATAGCATAGGTATGTATCCGGGGGTGGAACATTTTAACTCTAATATTAAGTGGAAATTTGATGACTCACCAGGTGTCGATGAGGACTTACAAACTCTGGAACAAAATCTTGATAGAATTAGAAGTCTTAGCCATGAGAGAAGTTTCAATGCTTACGGTTTAAAAGATAACGACAATTTGTTAGAAGTAGAAGTGAATGATATTGAAGATGACTCTGATAATAATAAAGACTATAATGGAAGTGTGCGTGAAAATTGTGAAGAAAAAAGTGATTATAATGCTACTCATAAGTTTTCTCGTAATTCGTCATTATCTAATAGAGAACTAGACGTGATCAAAGAAAGTTCGAGAAGTTCGAGTGATACAGAAGTGACGCTAACGCGATGACTTCCGAGGGTGACATTTGATAAAGCAGTGAATGTTGTTCATTTGAATCTATCCCCGGAACATAAACCTTGTAGACGAAAGTGTACTTTAACATTACAGAGACATCCTTGTTTTCATGATAAATAGAAAAACAAATAGTAATAAGTGTATGTGGACCAGTAGATTCAGGTCTCATTTTGTATATTAATAAAGTAATTTTAGTTTCATATAAAGTTTCACTTATGAACTACTAACAGAGTGCCAATATTATTTTATTTTATATACGTTAATTAACTTATCTATTTACTAATACTAATATTAACAAGATTTTTAGAGCCTGTAAGAATAAGCAATACTGTTCTCTCGTATGACGATTTATATTTCTTGCAATAAAATAGAATACAATAAATAATTTGCATATAATATGTTTATTTTAGCAATTATTTTTGAGTATTGATAAATAAAATATTATAATAATTAATCTTTAGTAAAGTGTGTTCTATTAAAGTTTTATAAAGCATGTGATAAAAAAAAAACTACAATTGTTTATATGGTTGTTATTTGTTCAATTTATCTCTGCAACTTAGAGCCTAAATGTATTCTATTCATGGATTATGTGTATGTATATAATACTATAAAATAAGACTGTTGTAAAGAAAATTAATAAGACATTCCGAATCGCACAATACTTTTCTTCTATTTATGTAATAACTAACAAAATGTTGATGTCTACCTAAATGTCATAAACAGCAAAAGAGAAGAGAAAATAAATTATTTATAAAAATACGTTTGTCATTTCAACTAAGTATCTGTATTACAAAACTTGGTGGTTAACTATATCAATACTAATAACTATTCTGCGACTTATAGCTGCCCTCAAAAATTACTAGCTTTTACCCATGACATCGTCCGCGTGACCGAAATATATTTACTAACTAGGATAAAAATACTCTGTTCTTTTACTTCCTATTTACCAAATTTCATAGTAATTGGTTAAGCCGTTAAGATGCTAATAGGTAACAAACAAAAAGACTTACATTTATATTATGGGTATTATAGTAAGGATGCACATTCTTGGTAACTTTGCCAAAATTTATCAGCATCTCCAGAAAATTACATACATTTTGCACTTCTATTGTATCGTAACGATAAAATCATAATGATATCGTAATATGCATGTGCAATTTTTACCCTCGAACTTCCTACTCAAGGGTTTACTGTAACAGATTTCTCTATAAAATAAGTTCGTTATTGTAAATTCAATCTTTTAATATGTTAAATATAAAGTATGTACAATAAAGACTTTACAATCAACACAATGTTACTGTAAATTAAATTAGTGCCACCTTTGTATTCCGCAGAGACTATTTGTAAGCTCTGACATAGACTTCTAAACTTATTAACTAATCCACTACAACACACTGACAATTAAATGAAATGGTGATTCTTTCAAGCAAATTAAAGAAAACTCTACTAACAATACATATAGTAGAGTATTATTCTTAATAGAAATCGGTACATCCTATTTAGCACAAAACTTTATATTAAGATCATGGGTGCATCATAAAAGTGCAATGTTACACGAACGCAGTTTATATCTATATGATACTCATATAAAGTTTATAGGATTTTTTACGGGCGGTCCAGAGATTTTACTACTTCAAACGCTGTAAAAGACACTAAACGTGTTGATGTTTGGGTCCAGGTTTTATCTTAGGGCTCGTCATCGGTTTTCTTCCAGATGGAAAGCAATTTTAGAGCCGCAACAGTTGCGATAATAGTTGGTAATCGTAAATAACAACAACAATCGTAAATATCACAAGATTATTTTTAAAACCTATGTTAATTTTTCAAGATATCTATTATATATTACAATAAAGACAAAAAGAGAACTTTGTCACAAGCTTGGTAAATATATCTTCTCGAATTTTGGAGATCTCTACAAGAACTAAAATAAGATACAGTGGGTTTTACGTGCCAGGTTGTGTTGGACGGTTCAGACAGACAAAAAGAAGAAAGTGACTAAGGCGACAGACCATCACAGTCAACTATAACGACACTAGACACAGTCACACATCTCCAACAGCACAATTGTCTGCTGCATCCAAACAACCCAACCGCACAAAAGTGTTCACGGGTTGTGCAACCTGCAGCCCGCAGTGGAAGGCGAGACTTTGTAAAAGCACCGTACCACCTAAATGAAGTCGAAACAATTATCGTATATCGTAAGCACCTAAATGAAGTCGAAACAATTATCGGAAACGACAGACATAGTAAGTACATAAAATTCTCGTTATAAATAAATATGACAAAAATTCTATATTATTAATAAAATTTCTTTGTTATTGGTTCCGATTTCTAATAAATCTGTTTCTAATACATTAGATATCTACACTTATAAAGTTATTTGTCCTATTGAAATTTGGAACACAGGTTTATTTTACTCGTCTTAGGAAAGGATTTTTGAAAATTTAAACAACGAATAATAGCTAATATGTTATATAATTATATGACAAATGTTAGAGTAATAGACATTGAGACCAATTTTAATATTATAAAATTTACTGTTGCTTATTTAGAATAACGTAGTTAAAATATCATTAGTAGAATATTTACACCGACCCTCACCGGTTAAATAAGACGGACGGAAATGACATTTATACTTGTACGTGGGTATATGTGCCATTATCCTAAAATGTCATAAGGTATCTCAATTAAACAAATCCTAAAAATAGAATTGTTAGCAGAAAGTGAATCACACGGACATGTTGTTTTTATGGCATGTATACTTATTTTAGTATTACATACACCAAAATAGATAAGTTATGACATTTACACAATCAATAAAATAATAATAATCAAGAATTATATTTCCTTACAATATCCTATTTACAATACAACAGTTTGATGCTGGTGGACTTTAATAACTTTTGGCGACAATTTGGTTTCAATAACTTTTTTTTTTTTATATTCTGATAAACAGGTTTTGATTTATTACTATTAGTGAAAAAGTTAATTAATTAATAAGACAGTAGTAGACTTGCTCTCCATTATTTTATAATGTAAAGCCGATAACTGACGCTACAGCTGAAATACTAGTCGTAAGTATAATTTATATACTTATATATAATTGTCGAAGGAATTTAAAATGGAAGAGTTTCTAAATTCGATTGTATTATTTTACTTTTTGTATATTTTACGCGACTACTAATAAACAATCTATTTTCGTGATTATTTTTCTATCTGAAAGGGTTTACGCCTCCTATACTAATGTTATTATGATTTAAGGATATTTTTAGAACATATAAACTATATTTTTAAAATACATGATCTTTGTGAAGAAAACTTTTCAATCAAAGCTAAATTCCAGCAAAGATTAATACCAACAATAACACTCAAAGTCTGTCAGAAACTAACGATTTTTATATACTAATAATTTTTATATTGTGCCACAGATTATATCTATTGTTTTTGTCAAAAATATGATATATAAAACTGTTAAAGTAGATATTATTCTAGTCACGAGTCACATGTTTTGCCACCAAATTCTATGCATGCATGGCTGTAATTCAGTTTGATAAAGAAGCAGTGAAATTATAGAGTACAGAGACAGTGTTTTATCCTCAGGAATAGCAATACTTGAAAGGTACCATTTTTTTCATATTTGCACAATAAGCTAAACGGCGCCTACCGTCTTATAAACCTATTTTTCTTTTATTATTTGGTAAACTTTATTCATGTGATACAATTAATAGAATTATTCCAATTTTAATTATAAGTATTTAATAAATATTAGTTCTTTATATTGGCCATTTTTAAACTGTTCGAGTATTGTCAATAATGAACTATTAATAACGTGGTCCTTGACATATTCAACTAAATGTAAGTCTTCAATTCTTAGTAAAGTTTCAGGCGAAAAGTTTATCTTTACAATAAAATAGGGGATACAGATTTTTAAATTTAGTATATATATATATATATATATATATATATATATATATATATATATATATATATATATATATATTATTCAAATTTTATTTAAAATAAAAATTGTACATTTATTAGAAAACATGTAAATTATATAACGATAGCAAAAGTATTATATTTCTATTTTATATTTCGAATATTATATTAAATTTTGTTAGGAACAAACAAATAAAAATCTTTCATGTCCGCCTATTTAGTGAAAATTAAATTCTCTTTTTGAAATTTATAGTATCCCTAAATATAGTAAACATTTAGCCACCGACCAAAGAGGCACCTCTTGAAAAAAAAGCAAAAGCATCTCAATTTTAGCTTGTATCATTGATATCTAAAATTATGTAGAGACGTACTTTATCTTTTGTTTTATATTTAAAAATGTGTAAATAATCTAATTGTATAAACTCATTCGTTAATTTACGTGTATCATAAATGGCTCAAATAAATTGTTTATCTATCTATCTATCTATAAAGGTAGATAATAATAGTAATAATAATAAGATTTATTGCACATAAAAATATACAGTCATGGGCTTACAGAAATTTCAAAGTGAATTATATGTGTATAAAATGTAGCATTATGCACATTAGTGTCTAAACTAGGCCTAGCCTGTATCTTAGAAATGCCTTCTATTAGATACATATTTTCGTGCAGTTTCGCTATATTTAAATACTACAAGATTCAGTAAACAACATGTTTTATATTACTAAAATAGGGTATCTGTAAAATAAATTACAATGTTGTATCAAGAAATGTGTCAT